TTTTGGCAAAATTTGGCAGCGTTGAAAATGGTAACAGCCTTGGACGAATGATGGCCCTTTTTTATTCTTTTACATGTTCCTAAAAAGATTAAAGAGCAACATTAAAAATCCAGTCATTTTTAGTTTAGGGTTTTTTTGTGTGTGTTTTTTTTTGTTTGTGTTTTTTTTTTTATAAAGACCTACAGTGTCAGGCAGGTGCTTGCAGGGGTACTGGGAACCACCTGGCCTGCAATATCTTTGATCTGATAAAAGTGCTGTACGGTTGAACTTGCACGCAGATATGTTTCCCATTATGAAGCAAAAAGAGAGACAGAAAGAAAGAGAAAGGAGAGAGAGAAGAGAGAGAGACATCAGATCTCAAGTTTTCTGTTGCTATTAAGTGCTAACATTAAGAGTTTTAAAAGGCCAACTGTGTGCCCCATGACTGGAGTCCTTGACTGAAACAAACATCTGCTTGCATATTGAAAAAAAAAGAAAAAGACGGTAACTTGTTTACTGAAAAAAGGGTTCTCCCAAGTGCAGCTATGGCAGTTCTGAAGATCCACTGAGGTACAGTAGGCTTTTGAATATATTGTGATTTTCTTTCTTTCTTCCCCCAATGCCTGTGTGTGTGTTTTGTTTCTGCGAGGCTCCGCGGATCAGCAGGCCGAGGACTGGGGCAGCGGCAGGGCCCTCTCGTTCTTGCGGCCCCCGTTCATGTGCGCGTAGGGCTGGCGCTCCTCGAAGCTGGCCCGCAGCACCACCACGCCGGGGCCGTTCTCGGCCTTGTGTCCTGAGTGCTTGTCAGTGGGTTGCAGGGTGGAGGAGGGGTCTAAAGGAATGCTCTCCATGTTTTCAGTCTCCAGGTCAAGCTCCTCTGTGTCCGGAGGTTTGTTCTCTTCACTGTAGAAGAAGGAGACCTCTTTGAAGGCTGGGTCTAGCTCGTCTTTGATGCTACCAATGATTTCCAGGAAGGAGGGTCTCATTTTTGGGTTGTACTGCCAGCACATGCGCATCAGTTCGAACCTGGGCAGGGAACACACAGGAGAAACTTTTACTGTGGGGTTTTAGAGCCATGACTGAGTCAGACCACACGTTTTAGAGAATCATCCCACCCCGAGGGAAGCCAAAGTGACAGAACTTTCACAGGCTGAGATCCCCAGGGTTGTGGGTTCAATACCTACAATTCACCATTTACTTAAGAGTTGGACTGGATGATCCTGGGGATCCCCTCCAGCTCACAATATGCTGTCAATCTCTGTGTCACATTTCCACCTTCCTTCTCATCACCCGTTCACTCCCATACCTCCTGCCTCACCTGTTCTGCTCCCTCACACACACCTTGTGTCTCGTGGGTACCTGACATCCAGAACCATTGCATACTCTTATTCTGACTTGGTATTTCTCTTTTTCCCCTAAATTACCCTGTGCTTACTCAGCCATAAGCTACATTGCACCTCTTGGAGTATCTTTTTCAAACAACTCATCCCATCCCATCAATACTGACTTGGAAAAAAATTAAAATAGGAAATACAGGCAAGGTAAAGCACTGCCTTTTTCCCCTGAAAGAAGAAAATTACATTAAAATTAATTGTAATCCCCAGCAGACATTTGGCAATCTCAAAGACATTCTCTAATCTTTTTATTTTAAAATTAGGTTGTTTTCATTTACGGCCAGGGATGCATTAATATTTTACAGAGTGTGAGATCATCTGTTTAAGCACATCCATGATTAGATCTGTACAATGTCCCATGCTGGCAAAACAAAACCACAAAATGAAACTGTAATACAGACATAATGAAAACAGCATTTTCATGACACAGCAAAATTGGATATTCCCAAGAGATCGCCCTGAGCTTTAAACATAACACAAGAAAGGATTTCACCGTCTGTGAAGGTGGAATAGGGATGTCTTCTGTTAACACAGCACAGTAATAGGACAAATTTAAATAAGAAAAGGAAGATTAGCATTAATTCTTTGAGCCAATCCTCTGTGTACACAGCGCTCAGAGGAACACGCTGTGTGGAGGAAGTCACTGCTGGCCAAAACTACTACTCTGTGCTAGAGTAAGAATGCATCTAAAAATAAAATAAAGCCAAGAAAGATCTCTCAGTTAAGGTAATGCACATCTCTGACTCACCTGCCAGCACTGGGACCTGCAGCCCCAGTGAGACCCCCTTGGCTTGCTGGGGTTTATTACCCACCTCTGCCAACCTTCCCTTAAGCCAGGTCAACCAAAATTTTAATTTCAATTCTAGATAAAAACACCGTATTTCTAACTTCCACAGATTTTCAGGGCCCAAATGAGCAATTCTATTTGAACTTTTCATTAGCTCTCACTGCCTTGTGCCCTCAGTTGACCAGATCTCTGCATCAGTGTGAAAAAAAATTCTTTTTAAATTAAACAGACAAAAACAAACAAGCAAACAAATTCACTCTCTTTTTGTATAGGACCTAAATTCATCCCAGAGTAATGCCCCTGTTGTAGAACAACCCTTTTAATAGGACTGACACTGAGCTGGAGAAGCCTGGGCTCTGCAGCCCATGGTGGGTCTGGAGAGAGCTCAGGAGCCCTGGCCTGAAACAAAGCCCCAGCAAAGAAAGCCCCTGCCCAGAAACTCGGGAAATTGGGAAATACTGTTGCACCTCCACTGTGTTCTCAGCTGACGTGAGCCAGCAGAGGGCAAGTGGCTGTGTTTGGGCTGCAAACACTGCTGAGTGCTTCAACCAAACCCAAAGCAATCTTCACTGAAGTGCATCTAAAGTGCCCAGTATCCCTGCCAGAGCTCCACTGGCACCGCTCCGCGTGAACAAACGTCAGCCACCTGAGAATGGCCTTGTGACACCCAGCAAGAGCTGGCAAAACCAGTCTGTGCTGGGAGAACTCCCCGGGTACTCAATGCTGCATTGTAACCTCACGTAGACACGTAAACACTGCCCAGCTCCTGCTTGTTTTTGAGTCTGTGAAAAGCCTTTCAGAGCAAAAGCGCAGCCAGGCTATAAAACTGCACCGTACTCTCGCCCACAAGGGTGAGGAAAGCTTGAGACATAAATATATAAAATCCATTTCTGTTACTTCATTGCTGTTTCCCTTCCAGCTGACTGCTGTGTCCCTGAATAGAAGCTTGGCTGGAGCCAGGAACTCTGGATATTCGCTGGCGCGGCGCCCCGAGGCCTAAGGGCAATGCTAAGGAGATACCACAAGCAGCGGAGTAATGCATGTGACATCAGCACAAACAAGGACATGTGATGTTTCTTTTAAGCCATTCCAGATTTAAAAACCCTACAGAGTTCCCATAAAAGGATTTTTTTTTTCTTTTTAATTCTGTGTGTTCGCAGGCCTTGTTTACATTATCTTAAACAAAATAAAAACCTTTCCAATAGACAATGGAGGAATTTACAGGCTGTTAATACAACCTGAGCAGATTTATAAAGTACGTTCCTGACTGGTGGCAAGTGAGCTCCAGGGAGCTGGAGGCACCACCGTGGGTTAGGGGAATAGTCAACATCCCTCTGTGCATCTTTTGCTTAAGGAACTGAACAGAAACTGAGTTCTGTTTGTACTGAGACATAAAAAAAACCCAGAAAATGGAAAGTTCCTATAGAAGCTGCATTCCATTTGTGCTTTGCAATACACTTGATTTGGTGGGGAGAAGCAAAAGGACCTCCCCTCCCCTGCTGGTGCCGTGTGCTGCCAGTGCCTCTGCAGAGCAGACCCCGGATTCTGAGCAGGAACAAAGGGAAATCAGCACTGCGTAAATAGTCTACAATGCATGTGGGGGAAGCAATCCTGCTTCAAAAACAGAGTGGAATTCCAGCCTCCACGACTTTTAAAAGCCCCATGGGAACACACTGTCTGAGAGCTTCAGCTGTACCAAAGCTTGGTGCCACGCAGCCGTCACCTGATGAGCAGTGCCATAACAATGGGAGGACATAAAAACATCACTGAGTGCACAGGAAGAGGAGAAAAACAGCAAAGCTTCTCCTGGCACTGTCTTACTGAACCATCTGTCTTATTGCATGGATCTGTCTGCAGAGCCACGCGAGCTATGCCAAGAGGGTGTAGCATAAACACAACTGAGGCTTGTTTCACCCTGTACAACAGTAAAGAGCCTCCAGAAATACCCTCCCCTTTGTGCTTTGCCCTTTTCACAGGAATTCACTACCTCCCAGCCACAGGACAATCCCCTGTAAAATCCCCCTTTGGCCAAGCATCCTTTGCCCTGCACAGCCACACTGTAGAGAGAACCTTTCTGGCTCCATCTAAAAGCTGCTGACCCACTGTGCCAGGGTAGGGGAGCACAGGCACTGACCAGCATGATCAGCTTGGCAGGGATGGAGACACAGAGGGTCCCAGCCTGCCTGCACCCTGCAGAATTCATGGGGGGATCACGAGGTCCTGAGGGGAGCTCCTGCTCTGTGGCTGGAGGGTGCAGGGCTGTGTCACCATCACATCACCTGCATGGCTAAAAGTAGCAGATTTGGTGACAGCAAGACTCTTCTCTCTGTTCTCATCTACACTTCCCCACAGCAGTTACCTCCTCCACCTGTTCTGGAGGTTTCTCTCTGTCAGCACACTCCCCTCTCTCCACAGACAGCTCCACTGATATTCTGACCAGAATTTCACCTGCTTCCAAGCTGAGAAAGAACAAAGTTCTTGTGATTTTGTAGCCCATGAGACTCAGGAGCACAGAGCTCCCCTCCTCACCTGCCTTCAGGCAGCAGCAAGCCCAAGTGACCTCCCTGCAGCCAAGCTTTGCTTTTGGGACATCTGGAGTTAATATTAGGAGTCAATACTAAAGTATCACAGACCAATCTCCACCAGCAAGAATTTGTGCTACCTAAAAAGTACCTCCCACTAGCACAGACATGCCAAGAAACCTGCCTTTAAACACAATCTTTTAGCAACCTCCACAAAGAAGAGGATCCCTTGGTTTACAAAGGGTTCCATAAAGCACTGGAGAAAGCAGTGGCCTGGAACATGCTGGGATGCAGGGTAAGATCCATGTGCCATTTCAGGGCTCTTAGACACAGTTAGAAACACTCTTCTACCCATGTTCTGATCTTCCTGCAGATCCCCAGCTGAGAAGGAGGTTACTGGGCCCTGGAGAGGATCTCTGCCTACAGAGCAGCTCTGGTCCTGCCAGCAGGGTGTGGGTGAGGGCTGGGAGCAGTGGAGAGGTCACCGAGGGTGGCACAGCACTGTCACAGCTTCCTGGGCAGGGAAAGAAGTGAAAATGTGCAAAGAATAAAGCACCACAGGAACATAAGAGGTTTTTTGATTGCCAAGTGCATGTGCAGGAACAAAGGTGAAGGTTACTCTTGGAGCTCCCTACTGTTATTCCTACAATTGCCTACTTGAATTTCAGCAGATTTGGGTGTCTGTACTAAAAGAAAGACAAAACAAGCTGAAAGGGAGCAAAAGCAAGTCACAATAAGGTCATACTTTTTTTTTTCTTTTTACATTTGGGATAAAGCCAAGATGTCTTTTATCACTAAAAAAATAAAAAAAAAAAAAAAAAAAATTAAAAAAAAAAAAAAAAAAAAAAAAAAGGCAAAACAAAAAATCACCACTAATGTGGATGTGCCTTAGGTCGCAGTTCAGCCTCATTCTTTTTTCTGACAGAGCAAAGCAGCACAATTCAAAGGCAGATTTTTTTTTATTCTGCACCTCTGCTGGGCAGAACCAGCATGTGAACAGCTTCTCCACGAGGAGCACCACAAGAAAGGCCTTGGCTCTTACACACCGGTGCAAAGATTTGCTCTGCCAGACTTTAACCAAGTTCTCCCAGCTCACAAGCCAGGACCTTGAAAGTGGATTCATCCAGTAGCAACAGCCCTGGAGCAGAGGAGATTCCCTGAGGAGGGGGAGGAAGGAGAACTGGGTGGGCTGCAGCAGAGAAAACTTCTGGCCTGACTCCCCTCCCACCCCTGCTCATACCACACACACCCCAGCTTAACAGGAATTTCTAATGCTGCATCTCTCCCCAGTGAGGCTGTTCTCACTGCAGAGGTGCTTTCTCCTGTGAACCCATCACATCCCTGTCCTTCCCCATTTGTGCCCACCCCATTACACAGCTCTGACCGTGTTAAACAATGTCCAGTCAATCCAACTGCCAGGAATTCTGCACAGCATCTCGAAAGGGAAAGAATGTGAAACCAAGGAATCACATGGCAGCTACACCTCCCCCTGCATATACCACCCACCCCCCTCAAACAACAAAACAACACTGCCTGTCATCTGAAACCACAGCCAGGCTCCGGCCAAAAAAGCTATTTTCCTAAGAATCCCAAGCAGCTGAGGCCCTTAAGTGATTGTATCCCTTCTGTGGGCCTCCAACAAATTTCAATAACTGCAAGATGCAGTATTTCCTTCCCAAAAGTCAGTTTGGGAAGTATATCAAAGCAATAAAGTCTGAACAACTGAAACTGCTGTACACAAAGGCCAGCAGAAGTATTTCAGCAATGTAAAGCTAAAAACTGAAGCTGCTGCACTGCACATCCTCTGCTGCTGTGAGGCTTTGGGTCAATCCTGGGGCAGGGAGAGGTTTTTCTGTGGAAAACCTCACCCTGTGCTTGCAGGGAAGGAAACTGTTAGCAGGGGGGATTGGTTTATCTTAATGGGACAAGTGCTGTGCCTGAAACAGTAGATCAAATCCAGCTTCAGATACATTGATTTATCTGTATGCTGAACTAAAAAGTTTAATTCCAGTGTTTACACACATTTCAGCTTGTCCCATGCTCTCTTCTCTCTTTATGCTCAACAGAATTACTTTAAGCAGAAGAGATATGATTTAGGCACAGGGCCTCCTGATTATGTAGCAAATGTCACTTACAAAGTGACATTTTTATTAAGCCTAATTTTATTCAGTAACACAAAGCTTGGATTTTGTTTGCTTATTAGAGGAGATAGCCCAACGTGAGATTCTGGCCACAAGCAAAGTTTGCCTGGAATGTCTCACTACCATGAAACACTGGATTGACAGAGACTGAGCAGCCCCTCCTGAGGTAGCTGGCAAGAGCAGAGCCTGCAGGGCTCAGAGGCAGGAGCTGTGCCCACAGGGCAGTGGTGGCACTTACAGCATGTCGGGACAGTTGTCTGGCTTTTCCAGCAGCCCCCCTTCCATGACGAAGCGCAGCACCTGCTCGTTGGTCATGCCCTGGTACGGCTGCTCCGCCAGCGTCGCGATCTCCCACAGCACCACGCCGAAGGACCTGCAGGAACAGCACAGCTTCAGGGCTCCCAGCCATCCCAGCCAAGGGTGCACTTCTTACAACATGCTGAGCCTATCCACGGGTATTTTCAAGGTGTCCATGGGTGTTTTCTTTTAGCAAAGAATTCTGGTTACTCAAAAAACACGTGCCTGTGGTGACAGTCACAACTCCTCCCTCAAGAGACTGCTGACTTCAAACATCTCCACTGTAGTGGGAGAAGGGCTCAGTGAGGAAAAACCCCTTTGTGACATGCATGTAACTGTGTTCCTGAAATACAACTTCCAGCTCCTTCCAGATAACTACAAAGGACGGCAGAAGTGAAAAAAGCAGTTTGTCTAATAATAGGAATTGATTACTGGCAAAGGAAGATAAGCATAGTTATGTAATTGGGTAGTTTGAACGTAAGTATTGACACTTTCTAAAAATATCTCAATTTAAAATTAGATTATTGAGCAGACACAGCTCAAATTGTCTGCCCTGCACTGAAGAGTCATCTACTTTTAGAGCTGCTGGGCAAAGAAGGAAAATCTCGATGCTGTGTGGTAAAATGCTGAGTCAAGCTGAGTGAAAAACACGCAGTTCCACTGGGGGGGTCTTATGAAAACAGGAGTCCAGTGTCATTAGCTGGTTATGGCCCTGTGGTTTTATCTTTCAGATATCCCTGGGATCTAAACTGGTTTGCATCTGGAGCCAGAAGCCACAAACTGCCTTGCAATTGTTTTCCTTTTAGGGGAGGGAGGGACAGGGGTCAACTCAACATTTGGGTGCCTTTGAAGCTTCTTTGATCACCGCAGGGATAACGAGGACAAGCCTTGCACACCTACTCGTCAGATTATCCTAACAAATAAACTCAGATTGCTCCTTCCAGGCAACTTCCAGCCTTGAAAGAATGCAAGATGCTGAGGATTTATTTATAGAAATCCACCCTCACCCTGAACAGTATTACATTAATTTTAAAATGTCCTCCTAACTACAACAAAACCAGCCCTGTCTAATTACCTCATTCTTCAGCCTGAAAAGCATTAAAAGAATGAGTTGCTAAAATAAAGCTCCACCCTTCAAACCTCCAGACACTCTTCCTTCCTGCAGTTGCCATTTCACCTTACAGCTTATAAATCCTGGACTCCAACCACTCAACAGGATTTTGTCTTATTGACATCTTGGCTTCTAAAACTGATCTCAAAGAACGTGGAACTACTATGTCACAATATCTGCCCAGAAAGGCAGGAAAAAAAAATCACAACCTTTTGTTTACTGTTTGATGCAAATAAATGGCCCCCAAAACAGCCAAGCTCCACAGTTTACACTGAGCAGCTTCAAATCTGAACCAATAAAAGGATTCAGGGAATTTTTCCTGGCATGAAGAGATCTCAAATGTATAGTGTCTGGTGTAAAAGTCACTGAGAAGGAATGATCCTTTTAGCCATAAGCAGATCAAGTAAATAGACAGTATTTCATGACATTGTTAAGTCAAGTTCCACTACATTTGGAATTTAGATTGAAATTTCTCTGTAGCTGTGGATACATGTTCTAAACAAACAGCAAATTTCTCATGTTGAGCCTGCTTTTTTGTGCCTCCAGACAAGTACACCAAATTTCAGAGTAAATCACTTCCAACAATTAAGATGCCAAACCATCCCAAGGAGAAACTCTCTGAAATACCCATGAGTACCTTGAGCCTCCTCTCCATAAGATAATTAATTTCCTCTCTATGCTTACAAGTAAAAATCCAAGAGTCAAGATTTTACTGCTCCCTTCTCTTCAGCTTTCCAATCCTGTAATCAGTAAACTACTTCCCAGGCCAGGGTATTCACTCAGATTGTCCCACTGATGCAGTACCATTTGCACAATCCTGCTTTGGACTGAGCAACCAACAAATGCCAGGATGGAATGCATGGAATCCCAGGATGGGGCTTGGGCTGGAGGAAAACTTAAAGCCCATCTTGTTCCACCACTTGCCAAGAGCAGAGACACCTTCCACTATCCCAGGTTGCTCCAAATTGTGTCCAACCTGGCCTTGGACACTTCCAGGGATGGGGCAGCCACAGCTTCTCTGGGGAACCTGTGCCAGGGCCTCACCACCCTCACAGGGAAGAAATTCTTCCCAATATTCAATCTAAACCTCCTCTCTTCCTTGTTAGGGAAGCACTCAACATACTTCCTGCAACAACTACAGCACTAATTTACATCTGACACCTTATTTGGCATCACTTGGGTTTTATTGTTCGGAATTTAAGTTATTTTTAAAGAATAACATAACTTAAGAGGCCCAGGCTAAAAGAAAGCACGTGGAGAACACACATGGGACATCCCCAGTGCTCACCCCTGAGCTGCTGAAGAACCCTTTGGAGGCAATGGCTGGACCTGAAAATTCCTGTTGTGGGGTTGGAACAGGCAGCTCTGCTTCTCCTCACTTCAGGCTTGCTCAGTTTGCACCTGGGGATTTTTTTGTGATATAGTCCAAATTTCTGACTGCTTTGTGAAGCCATTACAAGTCCCAAAATTCTTTTACTGGGGGGACTGCCAAAAGCATGCCTGCACTGTTCAATGAGATAAATGGCTAATACAGGGCTTCCCTTCCACTTAATGTGGTTGTTTTCATCTGCTTCCAAGTCTGAGGGTTACTGGATTCAAAAGTAAGTTACTAGCCATATGTAAAATAAAATTTAAGCATCATTCTAGTGCTTTGCTTTTTCACTTGAATTCCTCTTAGGAACTTTCTGTTCAGAGCTGGTGCTGTGAACTACAGACCACTGACTCCAAACTCCTCAAGCTGCTCACAGAAAATGCAGTTTACTCCTAAAACACCATTCCTACTGACTTGTAGACATTTGGAGGCAATCAGCTGCCAATTCTGTAACAGATCAGCAGTAAAAACATCTTGTTAGGAAGGCAGAGAAACCATAAAAGACAGAGGAGAGGTTTTGCCAGTACACAACCATCTTCTGCCAAGTCCTCTCTACCTATCTCCAAAAACTGAGGGGTGTGTGGGGAATTGTTCCAGGGGATTACTTCTCCTAAGTACACGCCTCTATTAATATCTGCATAGATACAGCAAGCATGCAGTGTGCTTTGAAAGAAAACCCTATTTCTGCATCTTGCAGTATATAAACCAAGCAAAAAAAGCTCCAAATAGAGAGGGATATGCACAAGAGAGAACTCCCCCAAAAAAGCCTGGGGAAAGTGATGTTATTTACATAGAAGGTTTTGATGGAAAAGCAGGTCAGCATTAGGTAAACCTTTCTATATTCTTGGAAACTTTTAATGCTTTTTTTGAAGGAGGACAATTTTAAAAATGACAACTTGCTCTTCCAGGTGAAGGTAATTTTTTTTCACTGCACAACTGATTTTACAACTAACAGCAGGAAACATGCTGCCACCTCCAGTTCTGGAAATCCATTTAATTCTGCTCTCCCTGAGAGCAAAATTCAACCTCCTGAGTTCTTGCTGAAACACGAACTCACAGAACAAGAGAGTTACCTCTGAATGGACAGCACATGCAGTACATTAGTTAAGACTACTAAAACAAGAAGAGAGGCTGGAAAGAAGGAGGTTTAAGCAGTTTTTCAGAGCCCCCTTTTTGTTACCAGACGTCGGAGTGCGTTGTGAAGACTCCATCTTTCAGTGACTCCGGGGACATCCAGCGGACAGGCAGCAAACCCTTCCCTCCTTTCCGGTAATAATCTGTCTCGTAGATGTCTCTCGTCATGCCAAAATCTAGAAGGTAGAAATATTCTGAGTTTGTGTGAGAAAATGATGAGCATTTCCCCTTCCTACAAGGCAGAGAATCACACTTGGATGTGAGGAGTCTGTGCTGCATTCCCACGCCACTTGGCTTTGCAGACACTTCAGCTGCTGCCTCAGGGCTGGTGACCTTCCCTCCCAACACCGACAGGCTGTGCCACTGACTTCAGGGGTGACAAGTCTGAATGGTTTAAAAATAGGAATGTGAAAATTACACCCTTTATGCTTAAGCTTTGCAATAAGATGAGTCTTCTGAAGGTCATATAATTCACTAATTGTTCCCCAAATTCAGTGATTTTATTTTTTTTTTAAGGAGCTCCCTTAGTACGTATAACTATTGGGTTTAATTGAACAATCTCACATGCTGAAGGAAATACTTCTCTTGGTTTTCATTTTCCTATTTCCAAAGGTAATTCTCAGTTTCTGTACAATATTCCATTTCAAGTGCTACAGAGGATTATGCTGTTCATTTGTGATTAACACACCCAAGTACTAAAGACATACTTCCAGTTTATAGCCATGCTTAGCTGTAAATTCGTAAGCATTTGCAAGACTTGGATCTAAAAATGTTCATCCTCCTGACTATAACTTGGATTTATTCCAGTGGTTTTTTTCTCTACAATCAGCCTGAGACAGAATTTCTGGGTTTCACACTTGCCTATTGAATCCAGTCACTGTGTTCTCAAAAAGTTAATACATTAGAGGTCATCAGTCCTCTGACTGATATTAAATGCTGTCTCATGGCACACAGGACAAAATTCATTTCACCAACACAGACCTGTAATTGCCCCTTTTTTCCCCCAGGAAACTTGCACAGAACTCCCCCAGCTCTCTCAGTTATCACCAGTCTGTGGTGAGTGACCAACCAGGGGTACCAGGGACACCAGTACCCAGGGTGACTGTGACTGAAATCCCATCTGTGCAGCTCTTCCATCACTCCCACACACCAGGGTGACTTTATGCCAGCTGAATGGAAGATTCTTTCAAAATGTAATGCAAATAAGAAACAGACACGCAGTGAGCACAGGGTAGTGTGGCATAAAGCTCTTCCTCTGAGATCTGAACAGTCTGAGTTGGTGTATTCCAGCCAAGATGCTCCTAAACTGTTTCAGCATGAGGGGATTTTCAATGCTGCTACATAAACAAGAGCAATGTAGCACGTTTACAAAATGCTTTTGGGGTAACCATGAACATGTTAAAGGGAAGAAATGTACCATATCTTCAGTTTACAGAATTGTAAAAGAGGCTGATGGGGGCATGAGTAGAAAACTAAAATGGGAAGGATTTAGGCTGACTTCCCAAGAACCTGCAGAAAATACACAAAATCCCCAAAAGATCTTATTTCCTAATTAACTGACTCAAAATGAAATCATTTTTTCTTTCTCCCAAATGACAGGATTACTTACACAAATTATCAAAATAGCTGAGTTAAGCTCAGAGAAAAAGAATTAGTTTCCTACAGCAGAAGGCTGTTGCTATACATGTTATTTTAATATGCACAACTCAAAAACAGCCAACAGCTTAAAATCACTCTCTCTGGAGAGAAGACTGAAAAAACTCATCTGACACTATTTTGGAGGGATGGTGAAAGGAAAAAAAAAAAAGGGTGATCTAACAGCAGAGCAGAAGAAAAGCCATTCAGCCGTCTGGGAAGCAGAACTCCAGTTTAGACTGGAAAGCACCCAGCTGAAGTCATTCCACTTCCAACTCAGATATGATTTAAAATAATCCTAAAATTCTCATTCTTGAATCAATAAAAAGGAGGCAGAATTATTTTTGTGCATTGTCAGAGACATGAATGACACACCAGTGATAACTACACCATCCACCCAGATGTCTGCAGTACCTGAACCTAAATCACTGCTTCTTTTTAAACCCACATGCTGCACTGTTGGCTCACTGGAACAACAGCAAGCAGAGGTATTCCAGAGGTTTCAACTCAGTGTTTAACCGCTCACAGGTCTTAAATCACAGCAAATCTTTACAAGGAACATATTTCATTCTGCAGATATTTCAACTAGAGCTGAGTTAAAAAAAAAAAAAAAAAAAACAAAACAAAAAGCCTTCCAAGACACTGATTTTCCAGGATGATTCTATGAGCTGTGTCAGGGTCAGGACAGCCCACCTCCAATTTTGACTGTGAAGTCCTCGGCCACCATGCAGTTCCTGGCGGCGAGGTCCCTGTGCACGAACTTGTTGGCGTTGAGATAGGCCATGCCGTCGGCGATCTCCCCCGCCATCTGGATCATCTTCTTCAGCGTCGGGGGCGCCTGCCCAGGGTTGTTCTGAGCAAGATGAAGATCAGTTAACAGACCACATCCATTCTCCTGTGCACATACTGTCCTCATGCGCTGTTCCTTTAATTTATCCACACTGGAATTTCTAGATCAAGGGCAAAACCTGCTGAGCTCATTTTCTACATAGGCTGCTGTGACTTCAGTGGCAAGTGACCTGTGTGTCATCTTTATCCTTCAGCCTCTGCATCATATGAGACAATTTTAGCTGTTAGACTGATGGCCTATGCATGAGAGTTTGCACAGGAGCTAAGATAACAGATATTTACTTTTCAGCAGGGGCAATGGGCAGGACACACAACATGAAACAATTATCCTAACACGTGTTCTTAAACCAGCCAATTTCTGTAACATCTTGATGAGAAAGTAGATCTGACAAGAGACCTAATGCAAATCTGGAAAAGAGGACTCGGTGGCTAAAGAAGGGACCTATTCCATGTGGCACCCTGGGCTGCCTCACGAAAGAGCTGCTGGAGATCATGCAACAGCTCATGTTTTGTCCTTAGACTGAAGGAGAAGGGCAGGAAAGGCTAATTGCCTGCTGCTTCCAACGTGAGGCTGTCTTGTTCAAGATGATTCAAACTGAAGAAATAAACATCCAGCGACTCATGACTCACCTCTGTGTCTGGCCTCAATGATCTCAGGTAACTTTTGAGGTCCCCACGTGTCATCAGCTCCATGATAACCAGTGTAGGCTGGCCCTGAGAAACAACACCAAGCAGCCGAACCTGGCAGAGGAAAAACAAATGTTCAGTACAAGTATAAATGTTAAAATTAACAGTTTAAACAGCTAATTATCAGTTATTCACGTTGATATGTAGCCCCGTGGGAAAGGTCTGAATGTACATTTGGTTCCTCTTTCTAACTGGGGTTTCATGATAATATTACAAAGCTGCGCAAAGTCGAAGCTAAAATCCCAAATTCCCACTTCAGTCCCAGAACAGCCTCATGTCCATGAGCACCAGGGCTGGACGAGTCACAGCCTCATCACATCTTTAGGACTCACCACATGGTGACAGTTGAACTCCTTCATCACCGAGGCCTCGTTCAGGAACTCGATCCTCTCGCGCATGCTCGCGGACTCATTGACCGTCTTGATGGCCACCCTGGTCTCTGGCTCGTCCTTCACCACTCCCTTGGCTATTCCCTCGTACACCATTCCAAAGGAGCCTTGCCCAAGCTCCCGACACATGGTGATCTTCTCCCGGGGCACCTCCCACTCGTCAGGAACGTACACTGAGGGGAGAGAACAGGCCCTGATGTTCCACAGCTGCCCGTGCTGGGACTGCTCCCTGCCCCACGACAGCAACTGCCCCGACAGCTCTGGGGCTCCAGCTCCACACAGAATGCTGAGACCCTGCACCATGTGTGCAACCAGGGCAGGGGCTGTCCCATACAGAGGCAGGGGGATGGTGGCATACAAATAAATCTGAAAGAAAGGTGGACTTGAAGCGGCTTCACTATGGTACTGACATACAGGGATAGAAATAAGCAACCTCAAAGCCAAAACCAGGGTGGGAAGAGGCTCAAATCAATGCTTTAGGTAAAATCTTTTATTGGAATCCTTGCTCTCCTAACTCTCCCAGACAGCATCAAACATACTTGATCATCTGTATCAGTTTAGTGTCTGCTGTATTCTCTATTAACACTGATTTTATGGCTAGAGGGAAGCAGACTCTGATCCAGCAGTTCTTTGCATGGCACTATTCTGATCCCTTGCACACACACCATTGCACCAGCAAAGGCAGAACTCGCTGCTGCTGCTGCAGGTCTTTGATCTGAGGCAGAAAAGAGCTCTCAGAAGGTGACTGCCAGGAGGCAGGACTGCCTCAGGCAAGAAGACATCCGAGTACTCACTGATGCTGCTGCCTATCAGTCACCAAAGGAGGGGACAGTTGTGTCACATGCTCTGCATGGGTGAAATGACAGGATGAAAACAGAGGATTATAGCATGAACACTGACAGACCTTTAACCTTAATGGTGTTGCTACAAAAAATAACAGTAAAATAATCTGCTGCCACTCTGGGTAAACCCATTACTCTCCTGGGGGCTTTTGGAAATACTATTCCAGCAAGAATTCTACAACAGCAGCACCAAACTAAACCATAAACAGGAAAACTGAGGCCTCAAGGACACCTGTCTGGTGTTGTGATTTCTTCAAGTAGTGGGTTTGTTTCAATAGGGCAAAAACAGAGCTTAAAAAAGGCAAACATGAATGAAAGACCACAAATTCATTCATTCTTTTTTAATTCCAGTGAAAACATCACTGGATGAGTAGATGTTAATCTGAAAGTGAAGCTAGTGAATCTGAACTTGCCTCAGGTGGATGAAACTACAGGAAAACAATTCAAAACCTCCCCAGTTTCAATAGAGAAGTGGCATTTACGTATTAGCAATTGTGGATTCCAGGGTTGTCCTAATAGGGCAAGTGGCTTTACAACATATCTTTTAGGGTTTCATACCTTTCAAAGTCAGACACCAAGAGAACACAGGGCAGTAAAGGCATCACAAGTTAAGGTCACACTCACCATCTGAGGCACTGAAGTACTCGGGGTTCACAGAAGCATAAAGTACTCCATTGCCCAGTCTGTCACTGTTCCTGTAGAAATATTGGGGTTTATTTCTTTTATCTTTAAATCTGAGTATATTTCAGACCATCTCTTCCACAGCTTTTCCACCACTTGCTCAACCACAGAATATTATTTACTGCATGTGGAGTTTTTCAGACAAAGGGACAAACTGAGATCTTATCTACCTGACATAATCAATGGGAACGCAGTCCGGAACAGTTTGTCAGGAATTCTGGAGTCTTCTCTATACCAAATGAGCAGCAGGAAAATGTAAACACAAGGTACTTCTAGCTGCCGGGTAAATTTCTTTTAAGAAAGGCAACTATATTTTTATACAACCAGGAGAGAATGAGAATGCTCTTTACCATCATCAGCTCTGCGACGAGAGTGAAGTTTCTTAGCAAAAGTGGGGGATTCCATTCAACTATTTCCCAAGTGTTTATAATACTTTATTTTAAAACCACACAATACCACACCTCCCAATTTTACTGGGGTGATTTTCAGAATAATAAATATAATAAATGCACTTTGAGAGATTTTGCAGGAGACAGGCTCACTGAGAAAATATTCTTGCATTAGAACAACAGTTTAAAACAGGACAAAATTATCAGGAATTTCACCTAGGAGAGCCTAAGGAAGGCAAAGCAGGTGTTGTAATCACCAGAGACAAAGCCCTGCCTGGAGAGCTTGAGCAGAACTGGTACCACTGTCTGCAGTACTACCAGCAAATTAGAGCTGGAAATCATGGGATACCAATGAGCATAATTAATGTGAAAGTAATAAAAAACATCCACAGCTAGGAAGTGGCAAGACTGAACATTTGTACTGCTATTAAGTTCTCGTTATGTATTTCAATGAGATAAAAAAAAAATAAATCACTAGCTACAAAAAACAAAACTGAAGAAAACAAATTACCAGAATAGTCCCAGTGATAGCTCTCTTGGCCAGAATATAATTTTTTGGGTGGATGTAAGACTTCAAAAAACCCTCCAGAATTTGAAAAAAATCAGATTAACTTAAATGGACCTAAATTTTCATAATTTATATTGACACATATTTCAGTCAAATCTTCTTGTTATACAGGTCCAGCGTGTACCACCAGTGCCTCACTGATATGTTCCTCACAAGCCTTCCTCTTCCCAGTCAAACATGATACTGCAATAAAAACCCTCTTCATATCTCCAGCAGCAGCAGCCAGATGCTGCTAACCCTAAACCACCTCCTTTTCCATGCCAACAAGGCAGAATCTACCTCAGCCTCTCAACTCCTCTGAATGTCATTTCTCTTTTTAATTTCCAACTCGCTCCATGGGCACGGATTTGAAAATAAACAATTCCCCTCCTGCAGCTTTAAACACCAGCACATGGAACTCACCTCTTTTTGTTAACGACATAGAGCATTACCAGCAATGCCCCAAGGATGAACAGCAGAACAATAGGGAGCACAATTACCAAGTGCAGGAAGTTTCCATAGTTTGCTGCTGCAACCAACAAGAAAACAATTGTATCAGGGTTTCTGTAAAACCTCTGTTAACAAAGAAACATTCAAAACCCACTCAGTGTATTTCCATACAGGGAAGAAATCAAAGTTCTCATTTTCTTGTCTGATGTGGAAAAATGCACTCGGAAACCCTCCCTGACTGCAGATGAGTGAAACAAGAAAGCAGACACTGAAAGGCATTAATTTTGTACAGAACAGTGTCTGTCTAGGCTTTGTTTTCACAAGTTATGCTTAAAGGACTTGCATTCCTCAGTGAACAATATCCAATTGTTCACTTGAACATTCACCTTTTTTTCCACCTTTTGTTCACCTCGCAGCTGCTTATATTCAGAACATACATGCGCTGCTCTTCACTTCAAATTGTTCGAAGTTCAGCAACCAGAAAACCAAAAAGGTATAAAAAGGTGTTGCTGCAGTTTTCTGGGGATATACCTGCTTTACAACTAAACACAGAATGTCTTAAAGAGGGTCTCTGTGGTCATGTTCTTCCAAAATATCAATTTACTCCCATTGTCAGGACCAGCATCACCCTTTGATCAGGACACTTTTTATCAAATGTCACTCAGAACAGGTCAACCTGCCAGCCAAAAATCTACACAAATGATTTGTTTCTCCAATTATTTTGCAATTTTAAGCAGGTTTGCCTTTTTGCCACAGGTTTTGTACATGGCAGCTCCCAGCTGTTGTAGCTAACATCACATTCCCAACATAGCTGCACATCCCAGGAAGCCACAGCAGGGTGTTCACAGTCACACCTGGCTGCACCTCTCACAGACACCCAAAGCTGCAAGGAAAGGACCACACCTCACATACCCCTCCTGGTTGTCAACACTTGCCAAAGAAATGGACCAGAGAAGAGCTCCCAAAGAACCATCAGCAAGTCAGAGGAGAGTTCAGAGGCAAGAGGCTCAGATACCCACTTACATCAACATCAGGAATTATTAAAAAGACAATTAACCCAAATTTGACAGAGACTATAAACATTTGTCTTACATTTGGGCTGCACATAGAAAGAGATGGGCTCAGTCCAGGACCCATTCCCAGCTAAGGAAGTGGCCTGAACTCTGGCAGAATAGTTTCCAGGGTTCAAGTGAGTTAGTTTAGCTCCTCCAAGCTTCTTGTATTCCTGTCTGGAAACACATTCCCGCTTCTCCTAGAAAAAAAAAGCAATTTACACGTTATTAACTTTATATTATGGAGAAAGCAAAATAGCTGTAGGAAAAGCTCATTTTTATAACTAAAAGCCCCACCTGATCAGTTTTACTTCAAACACCATAAGGAGATATGTGGAATTTAAGAACTCAAAGGAAATGAAGGAAAGACATGATGGCAAGTGCTGGGTGCCTGAAATCACAATTTCTGTTTGTGCAGCACTGCACAAAAGCATGTTAAGAAAGATCCTTTTTTGTGTATAAATTAAGAGTTATGAGCAGTAATGTCAAATCCTCACCTCACCATGCTGCCCATATTTGATTTCATACATCAGGATCAGCCCATTTGGATTTGCAGGCTCCAACCACTTCAGGTAGACAGTATTTTCCTCTTTTGCTTCCCATGATACCGTTCCTGGAATGTTGTCTGCTCCCTCTGTAAAATATTTACAGGTGATGTGAGAACAACACCTATGACTGAAACAGGAACTTCAGCAAGAGTGGAGGAAAATGGAAGGTTCACAATATTCTTCAGGTGCAAAAGCTCAGCAACAAAAGCCATTCAAATCCAGGGAACAAACTCCACTGACCAAGGGCCTGCTGGAGATTAGCTCACTCTGAACTACTGGTTCCCAGAAAATCAGTGCAGAGCACACAGCTCCACCAGACATGGGCTCTGTGTGCCAAAAAACCCTGGTTATTAGCACCTGATTCTTCCTTCCTAACCCCCCCAACATCAAAACAGTGCAGGGAGCTATTCCCACCAAATGGCTGCAAACAGCTGTAAACACACAACATCTGCCCCACTGACAGCCTTTTCCTAAAACTGTCATAGGAAATCCATCCCCATTTAAAACAGAATCTCAGCAGCAATTCAGGAACTGCTTTATCCCTGTTTAGTTCCTAATAATTTTGCGTGACTTATTAAAAACTTAACAGGACTGTGAAGCACGTTTCAATCTGGACTGAAAAAACACCACCTTCTCAAAGATCTCAAAGATAACAGAAGAAAACGGGATTGTTTAGCTTTTAATTTTCAGAGCATGAGAACACTTCTTTCCTCTTCTCTGATCTCACAGATTTCCATATTTCCTTGAAATAAGCAATACTTTTTGCCTTTTTTACTGACACAGCTGGATCTGGATTATGATAGCCTTTCCTTCCAGAAACAAAACAAAATTGCTACCATTCTGCATCCAATATCCCCAGACATCTGCTGGAGTCAGAAGCTCGTTGCTGGATGCATATGAGCTTACACTAAAATCATCTCTATTCTTCTCAGAAGTACAATCTGCAAAAGTCCCAAAGACGAGCACAGCATTCAGTGCTTCCTATTTGAAATAGTCTAGAGGCCAGGGAATGGGCACAAAGAAACACAGTATTCCTCCTGTTCCCAGGCTGGACAAATGCATGGTCGTTCTGTGACAGAAGAAACATTTGGCAAACATTCCCACCAGCAAAACTCCAACATCTGCAAACAGTTCTGAGCAAACACAGCAAAACCAAACATTAGCAGAGAAATGTTGCTGTGGCCCTATTCAGCACACAGGGAGCTGAGGAACAAAACCTTTCAGCCCACCATGTCTGGGGGTCTCACTTCTATTGCTGGGAAACAGAGCCTCTCCTAATGATCCTGGCAGTCAACTTCTCCCTTTCTCCAGCTCCTAGCACAGACTCAAACACATCACTCGGTACACACACCAGTCAAGGATGCAAAACAAAAAAATCTATGCAGCTCCAATTTATCCTACTGCATGGAATTTTTTTTACTGTACCCCAACGTAATTCTAAGTGGTTTGGGAGAGCTTGTCCCCCCTGAGCTTGCTCTCTGCCCAGGAAAGGCAGAGCTGCCCCGTGTAAGCATACCTGAGGGCATCGTTCTGGCAAACACGAAGTTGGAGGCGCTGCAGCCGAGCGTGTCGGCCTCGTGGTTGCAGCTGTGAATATCGATGCGGTAAAGAGTGAAAGGCTGGAGATGGGAGATCACAGTCCTCTCCTTGCCATCCACCTTGGTCTCAAAGAAGGGATATTCCACCTCGCTCTCCTCCGTGTCAGAGGCGTTGGTGAAGTGGTCGGTCCCGGTTGCGTTCCGGCTCCGAGTGGCCAGGGTGGCGTTGGCGATTCGGAACACGTCCCTCCGCTTCCGGTCAGGCCTGGGAGCAGACAGAGGTACAGAAAAGGGCTCTTTAGAGAAAATCCACTTCTCCAGCTTCAGGAAAACTGTGCCAAACACCCCAGCCAAACAGGCAACAGCTGATAAAAAAGCTAAATAAAGGAAACTGCGAAACAAGAGGAAAACTTTCTCTAAATCTGAACCACCATATGCCAGCACATCTCATGTCTCTCTTTTGGTCAGGAACCAACCAAATCTCTGAAGCTCACTCTGTTCCCTAAGATGAACATGCAAACTTCTGACCTCACACAATAAACGAACCAGCAAAGAACAGATTCAACATTATTCAACAAGCATCCTGGATTTGTGTTTCAGCGATGCTGATGTTTAAAATAAAAATCAGATGCTAAAGGTTGAAAGGGTAGGGGGGAAAAATTGTTTTGAAGTTTGCTGGATTAGCAAAGGAAGATGAGCCTACTGAGAGTTAGCTTTGCAGTTGTGATGAAATTAGAATGCATTGCACTGACAGGAGAAACCTTGGAATGCAGCTGAAGGCCACGAAGGTTCACCACCACTCCGGTGGTCATCTGTGTGTCTCTGCTTCTCTCACCCAAACAAAAGCTCTGCAAATCCTCCCACGTAAGAAGACTCAGTACTAATATTGTGTAGAGGCAAAAGTTCAATGAGCAGCTTTGCCTTTACAGGCATTAGGGTGAAATTTAGGCAGCGTTAAAAAGTTGAGGATTTACAGCCACACCATTGCCTCCTCAAGCCCAGGGAACTGTCGTAGTGGACAGCCCCAAGTGACAGGACAAGGATCACTCTCAGAACCACATGGATCAGGTAACCAACACCCTGTGGCCAGACACTGGACCTGTCCCTTGGTCCTGCCCCAGATCTGAGGCTGTTCTGTACAGGAGCACCAACTACACAGGGCAGTCTGGCTTTACTGCTCCTGCTCCTTTGACTCCAAGGGCTGCAGGAATGCCCACGACCAGAAAGCAACACCCCAGGGGAGATAAAGGAGAAAGGTAGAAGAGTCACACTACAAAACTTATTTGGGCTTGGATCCTACCCCTGAAATCATTTCACTGCTGCCCCATGGAACAGGTACCAAGGGCATGAGGTCCAACAGCTCTACCAGAGAGCAAACTACAAACCAGGCTAATGAGGCCTCCCTCGAACACACAACAGGGGGAAAGATGACTCAACAGGAGAACTTAATTCACTGTCAAATATATCATCTGAGTACATGCAGCCACAGAGCACACTGCAGAGAGAGCCAAAAACAGGCTCACTCAGTTTTGAAACCTTCTGGCAGAAGTTGGATGAATTTTTTTTTTAGGAGCTCACTAGAAAAATTTTCAAAATCCCTTTACTACGTAGTGAGTAGTCGTTTTGACACTCTAACCACCATGTAAACCACGTCACAGAAATAAACACAGACAAGAAAGAATTTCCTAGGTTAGCAACAAATTGTTTAAGCAACACCCAAGTGAATATCTTGTCAGTTAAGGTAATTTCATAGGACATAAGCATTTGTGCCTTGTCTACACTGGTATCTATGGAAGTTACTAAACCTATTCACCCTGCTTACAATGTGTATTGATTTACTGCTTTAGCTCAGTGGAAAGAACAAACTTCTCATCAGGAAAAAGTTGGATTCCTAGCCCTGACCTGATGAACATTTGCACACATTCTGTGGTTAAAGCAGTGAAAATAAAAAGTTTGTTTTTAATCAACCACAAAAGCGTGTGCCAATGCAAGAACCCAAAAGGCCTGACTTTTCACTGGTTTTCTGGGATGCATGGAGCTTCAACTATTTGGTGGTATCTGGGGGTGGAAGAGGCTACAGCCCTTCCTTGTCTTTGGAGGAAAAGATAAAGGAACACAAAACTTGTTGGGGAAAACTATAGCCATGTCAGGAAGAGAAAAGAGCTGCAGGGATAACCACAAGGCAAAAGTAATTAAAACATCATGAGATTTGAGCTCGGTGTTTTCCATCATGCAGCTTCCTGCATTCATGAAATGCAGAGATAAAGACAAAAAACTAGTATCCAAGGAAGTAAGGAAAATTCTCGAGATAAAAACTTGAAAAATCATTTATTCTATTAAGGGAGAAGAAGGAAAAGAAATGCAAGAGAAAAATTAAAAATAACACTATAAAAAAATCAATCAAATAAAAAAGATTTTTTAAAAAAGTTGGGCTGTTTAACAGCAAAGCTCACTCTTTCTGTATCTCATGGCAATTTTATTGCTCAGACTACACACAGAGCCTGTCCCATCCTGCTCATTTGGGAAACAAAAACCTTGAAAAAGAAACTCATTCCCCTCTGGTAGTGAGTGTTTCTTCAAGACTAAGCAGAATCCTGTCTGAAATGCATCACAGCACTAATACACATGAGGTCATCCAGAAGTTGCACAAGAGATTAGATCAATTGACTTCTTAAACAATCTTAAAACCTCCCAGTCAAATACTTTCATGCTGTATTACACACAGCAACTCTTTCATAATAACCTGGACACAGGTAGAACACTAGAAATAAATACTACTATTGAGGTTTACACTAACACATTAATTAACTTCTCCCTTGGGAAAGAGAGAAAAAAATGACATAAAGTAACAAGCTGCTTAGATTTGTCCCATGGAGATGTCTCACCAGCTCATAAACTTTAATTTCCCTGACATACAGTCTCTTAAAAGTTGCTTGGCTATGCAGCTATTGCTGAGCATTGTCCCTTATCTGCTCCTGCTGTTACAAAACACCCTAATGGCAGTAATTTAAGAGAAAAGGACAAGCTTTCAGGAAATTCTCTATGAACTGATCAGTTTATTTATTACTGAGTTCAAGGTTCTGTGAGTTTTCTTGGAGGGGGGCAGGACTGCAAAAAAATTTAGGAGAAGACAACACATTCTGATTTACAAATGACTGGGGAAACAGAAAAACTTCCTTTTCAACAGACTTTCAAGTTGTTTACACTTGACACATGGCTTTCAAAACTCCTCGCTGTGCATTTCATGAAGTCCAAAATCAGATGTTGTGATTTCCCATGGCTCATGATTTCCATCATGATCAGACATGGAGGCTGCAACTTCCCTGTACCTGATCTTGGCTGCTGCTTCTCATCATCACTGCACAAATGCTCAGTGTGACCCAAACACAGCTCAGATAACATACTTCACATCTCCCAAGAGAGGCAGGATTTAGCTCCTCATTTTTTGGATAAAGCTAAGAAGCATTGCAAATAGCAAGGTCTCAAGGCCAACAAGTCAATCCAACACATCCTTGAATAAAGGTCCAAAAAATCACAATGGAGAATGATATGAACCAGCATCAATGAGCAGCAATGCCACACTTTAGAGCTCTCAAACACAGGATTTGACCACAGACTTCCCCTGCCAGGAGGGAGAATGAGACAAGGTGCACCACTGAGGTCTAACAGTGCATTAAAAACTGTAACACAACAGCTGCACACTGCGTGCCCTGCCCTGCATCCAATCCCCCAAAGGAACGACAGCTTACCTGAAAGATAAATTGGAAACTCAAGGATCAAAATCACCAATTAATTCAGTAGGATCTACTCTGTGTAGAGTATCAGCAGCACAGAATCATTACAACTCTACTTAACATGTAAGCAGGTGTTTATTGTGGGAGAGTGGAAATATTTAATACCTCTCTGCAGTGCTGACCCAGGAAACACACAGGCCCTTTGCAATTAGTGCAGTGAGAAAAAGGAAACCAGTTTCAATTCTGTGAGGCAGCTGTGCCCTTAATTTCAAAGATAAATTCAGATTAGGAGCACAAGCACTTAAATGGTTATTTAGAGAAAAATCACATCTGAAGCCCTCTGTCTGCCTCATGTTGCTCGTCTCTGAAACCCTTACAGACAACGAGCTCCTTAAGTGACTCTTGAGTCTGAAAAGAAACCATCACTGAAATCCTTGATCAATATAGGTAAGAACCCTTACTTATGGGCTAGAATTGAAAGAAAGAAAGGAAAATTGGCAAATAAGAGAAACTGCAAAGTAAGGCTGGGGATTGTCTCACATGAAAGGAAAGTGTTTCAGTTGTTTGTGTGCTTTCATGTCCAGGAAACCTCCGCTCTAGGGAATGTTAAAAGATGGAATTATCAGCCCTACTTCCAAAGAAGCGTCCAAAACCCATTACCTGGGGACAAAGATGGAGTTATGAAGGAAGTTCTCAAAGACTTTCCGGTACTCTGCTTCCTCCTTCTCCGCCTGCTTTTCTGCCTCTGTCTTGGGACAAGCACAACAAGGTCCTTTTTCTCCCCCACAGCCCTCTGGCTTGGTGGGCTCAGTGGCTTCTTCTGTATCAATGGTCCCATCAGCATATCTTCGAATTGGGACTTTATCTTGAAAGAAAAGAAACAGAGCTGGTTTCTTTCTCTCCAGATCATGGACACAGCAACAATTCCTATTTACCCATCCCCTCTACTGGCTGTTATTTAGCTCTTGCCAGTGAAGAGCCCTGGCAGGCAGAGTCCCAGGCATTTCAGCACAAGAGCACTCAGCTCGCCTACCTTTGGAGCAGTAATTGTGTCTGTACAGGTAACTGTCCTGAGGCTGCTGCTGCCAGCGCACAATGTAGTAGGAGAGGTTCCCATTGGGAAGAGAGGGAGGATTCCATTTCACAATCAGCTGGGATGAGGAGTTGGATGCTGAAATAACATCCAGGGGAATGGATGGCACTAGAGAAGGAAAAAAGAATGAAAAAATAAAGATATTTAAATCTAATATAACCCTAAATGTATTTCCATGTAAGCTGTTGAGTGAATCCCAATGCATTTCTACAGTGCAAGGAGAAACACCACCTAATTTCAAATAAAGGATTTTCTACTTATGCCAACAGTTAAAGGTTCAACTGCAAACAAGTCCCAACCCAACATTATACTTAAATTAATCTTTACAATGGAACAAAGCCTGTGATTCTAACTTCATAAACCTCCCATAGTTCCTAATGAAAGTGATATCTAGAAAAACAGTTTTAATTCAAATTTTAATCCTACTTTCATAATTAGTGAAACTGCTAGCACTATGCATATCATCTGCACACAAAATTTTATTTCTGTATCAACAGCAAAACTTGCACAATAATGCACTAATCACACCTGCAGCATTATCAACCTCTCACCCCAGAGTCCAGCATCTCACCTGCAGCATTGGTTCGAATATATATAATTTCACTTTTTGCTCCATGAATATGATGATTTTCCATCATTGTGAGGGTAACAGCCTTGACATAAATGGCATACTGAGTCCAAGGTTTCAACCCCTGCAGCAGAATTCCAGGATTGTTCTCCTTGTTTGGTGGCAGGTCAACATCAACCATGTTCCAGCTATTGGAGCCACAGGCATCTTGCCCGTCATACTCTGTCACATTTTTGAATGGTCTGAAATATTCAAAGAAAGTAGCACAAATATTTATTTTCTCCCAAAGATTGTCATACACATATGAGAGTGCCTCACTTCAAAGTTGCTCAATGAAACAAATAAAGCTTACTTGTTTTCCACAGCAGAATATACCAGGAAAAAAAAATCTGTATTTCCAAGAAGTACAAAATTCAGAGTTCAGTTTTAGTCATGAGCAATAAAGCAACATTCTCCAAGAGAACACTATATTTATCTTTTTTTTTTTCACTCAAAACAGTCAGTGAAATGCTTCAGACATATTTAGACTTTAAATAAACATATATCAAACAGAAGCAACTCAAAACAGTTATTGATAGTGGCCAAGCTTTTTACCATAAAGAACCCAAAGTTCCAAGACTGGCCTTGACCAGTCCAACGGGCTTTCTACCCTTTTACTTCTACACAATACAAACACATTTATACAGTTCTACTTTTCAGAAGTTGCAACACTGGTGCAAGAGCATACAAACTCTTGTTATTAATATCTGTAATCTTGCCAGAGCTGGCTTCTTTGTAGAACAACACAATGACCTTTTTCAAGTGATGCTGGACATGAACCATTTGTGCTTCCATGTCTTACATCTTTGCTCCATGTATCATTATCAGCATTCCAAACCTCCCTTTCACATCTCCACACTGCTTGGACAGTTATTTCCGTGCTCATTTGTTGTTTTTTATTATTTTAAATCTGAGCCATTACAAGGATATGCTAAGGCAGAGGCATCTCCTGAGTAATTTGGATTTCTCCAGTAACTGCCCCACACTTGCATTATCAAGAGATACTAATGCAGGAAATTACCAAAGCTGTACAGTCTAAATAACCCCAAACCCTGAGCAGACAATTTATCCACGTGGCAGGGCAAACTCCTGACCTGGGACGCCCTCCAGTCAATACTTTGACTACAGAAAGCAAGTATCTCAGTAAACATGATTACTTAGGAGGAGCTCCAAATCAGACCCCTGAGAAGAACCAAGCCATCCACCTTTCTCTTTTTTCAAATTTGAAACTTCCTGATAGATTTGCAATCCATTTGTAGGACTCATTCAAGCCAGTCCTCTTTTTAAAGGAGGCTTGTGCTCCACCAAGAAAAGAATCAGAACAAAAGCAGGACTTGAGGAAGAAATACACAAACTGGATGAGCCATCCCCACTGTAGGAACAGAATCTTCTGCTCTCTCTTGGACTGCCCTGGTTCATCTCTGATGACATCTACTTACGCCTCTTTGTAGTAAACGGTGAAGCTGATGAGGTCTCTGTAATCTGGAGGGCGATACCGCTCCCATGTCAGTTTAATCCGGTTCTTGAGCGTCGTGTTGGAAACAAAATGCAGAATTTTGCTTTCACCTGCAATGCAAAAGGACAGGACATGCCAGAGTTGGCATCACATCACCTGTCAGTGTTTTTTGCTTCTTAGATATTGGTTTTAGCTAAGGAGTCTTTCCAGTAGCACCTATGACACCACAGGATACCAACAGCCTTTGCAGAGCTTCCTCTTTCCTCCTACTACATTTGAGTGCATAAGGGAAAGCAGTGGCCTTGGCAATCAATTTAAAAAATGCTTGAGCCACTTGTTATTAATTTTTTGAGGTGGATTTTCTTTTAATACATCATCAGAAAGCTCTTGAAAACTACTTCATTCTCTCCCTAAGGGAGGAATGGAAGCCCTGTTTATCCACAGGACTGGTTTTGGAAGCCCTGAATTCATCATCCGGCTCCAAAGCACGTGCAGAGCAGTCACTGGCCTCTGTGCGCTCACTCTCCAGGACAACTTTTGACAACTACCATTTGTTTTTCTGGAGACTGGACAACATGGAAAAGACAAAGGAGTTTACATTCCTATTCATCAGAGGCTGGACCAAGAACTCCAAAACCCAGTTCATATACAGCACAACCATTTGATGGCAGCAACTTCCAGCTACTCTTCTGAACAGACCTGGATGGAAGCCCACAGCTTTGAAATGAATGGCTTCCCATTACCAACTCACTGAGCTTTCCAACCCAAAACAAAATAGCATTTTAAAAACTTAATTCTTGGATGAAGAAATTGTGTTCTGTCAACTGTGAGCTGGTTTCTAATGTTCCATAGAAGTTCTGAAAATAAAGAGGTTTTCACCCTCGTGTACACTGGCACTGTTGGTGCTATCTTTGCAAAGGCAGTTGAGCTTTTGTTGATTCTTTTGCCCTTCTCAGAGTCAGAAAGCTTTCTGTACTGGTTTCTTAAAAAAGCAAGCAGCAGCTGGCACTGGCCTCAGTGGTAGTAAGGCCTGGCTGTGTGTCTGTAACTCCTCCAGGACTGCAAGGCTTTGCCCTATTGAACGTGCAAAGAATGGAGGGTGCTTACAACAAGGATCTGGGCCATCTGCGTGTGCATCGTGCCCAAAAAGACATTCAGCAGACTACGTGTCCCAGTTTTGTAAGCACCATCCACAACAAGGGGACTTGACTTATACACAAGATCCATTTTAGTTTACTCAGCTCCAAAAACTCTACGAAGCAACCAAAGGAAAAATGCATTGCCAGTTTTAAGGGTTTGAGGTGAAACTTGTAGGCATTCTTCATTCCTAGAAGAGAGATTGCTTTAAAATGTCCTGTTACACCTGCAGACCTGATGTGCAGACCACCAAAGCCAAGAGAGGATTTTCCAATAACCCTAACCATTGTAGAATCCAAAATTAAATGCAGATACGCTCAGGCTTAAGAATATTTCAGAACATTAAAAAGTGTTCTCAATTCAAAAGCAAGTAATTTGAAAATGAAGCAGAGCAAACTAAGTTTGAAACAAGCATTTCTAGCGACCAGGTACAATATTTGGCAGGAGCTTAAATGAAGTTGAATGTAACAGACACAGTTTGTTTTGGTGTCCATGGAATTGTTATTCAGCAGTTTAGTATCAAGAAAGAATAAGTATCAGAGAGGGGAAAACCCCTATAATGATGCACAAAGGAGACAGAGAAATTGCTCCTTGTTGGAGACATCAAACTACTGGATTTCATTTCTCATGCTTCTATTGTTATCTGCTGCTGTCACAAAACAGGGCATGTGGGAAGAAGTCATCTCCTACAAGTGGGTTTTACAGATGAAATAGGTAACCACATCATTTTCCACTCATGTAGAGGTACCTTCACAGCTACAGTTTAAAGCCTGAACAAGCAGAAGGCCTGAAAACCTCCTGCAGATCCTAAACTCTAAATACTGCAATGGTCAGCAATGTGTCAGCATGTTGGGTTTGCTCTTGTGACAACCACCTGTGCAGCTGGCATTGGGATTTTTTTGTTTGTTTACTTACAAGAGGCTCTCTCCCCATTGTTCCTTGGATTTATATCTCCTTTGCTCTGTCGTCCCTTGGTTCCTGAAACCTCCTCCATACGGTAAATCTCAGAAACACACAGTTTAGGATTAAATGCAAAGTACATTTTCCCCTCACTGATTGTCAAGTTATGATGGTTCCAGTCCCACAGCTGCTGAAGATTGTGGTTGTCAAGCACGTAGAAGGAATAATTCCTAGAAGGAAGTTTTTGAAGAAAAAATACTCATTTTAATTCACAGCTCATTCCAACAAAGAATACCTTACTACAAGAAAACTTTGAAACACTCTATTTGTTTCAGCAAAGAGCTTTCTTCTCTTCCATGGAGCAAGTTAACCTTGACTGTTTAGGGGGTGAGGAAATGAATGTGACACAGGACTCCAAAGGTGACACCACACCATCTAAACCCCACTCCAACGTGTTTTAGGAGTTGTATAGGAGTGCTATGAGAAACATACAAATTTATGTCCTCTGAACAGCAGGTCTCTACACTGGATTTTCCATTTGGTGGCAAATGGGAAGCAGTAACCTTAGATACTTTATGGAAGGAAAAGCCTTCTGGAGTTTTGAAAATAAAACAGTCATTAACACAGCTCTTGCTTATGTTTACAAAAACAACTCTAAAAGTTTGCATAGTGAGGCTTCCCAGCCTCTCTGTTCTACCTCTTGGCCCTATAAAGATTTCCTACATTGTGCCAAGAACAGTTGCACCTGCACATCAAAACCCAACAGCAAACAGTTGTACTGACTGCAGAGGATCCACACTTCAGAGCACAGAACTAAACACAGGCAGCTGTGCTGAGCCCACTCCCTAAGCACTGCCCTGGAATAACATGCACATCCTTTATTTCCACAGATACTGTACACAAAGCTGTATGCAAAAGGCCTATTAAATATTATGAAAGCCCTATTAAATATTATGAAGAAATTCCTGGTACTACTCAATTGGGCTGAATTGGGGAAAAAGCCATACATGCAACAGAAGCAAGATTGTAGGCTCTACATCAGCTGCAAGACAACACCTGCAAGGACACTGATACTTTAGGATAGTAGAGACAAGAATGCACTGGGAAATGAGATAAAGGTCTGTGTAGCTGATGAACCTAAATCAAGATAACCCACCATGGCAGCATTTATTTCACTCTGCTGGGAAGTTCCCCCATCATTAACTACAGCAACACAAAATCCACTATTAACACTATGAAGCCCATCTTACATTGCTAAGCTCTTGTCAACAGAGCTACACCGGGCTTTCTACAAACCCTTCCAACAGAGTTTCTGCAGGGAAATGTGCAAACCAACCATAGGGTTAATAAAAATCTGCCATGTTATTACTCATTTATGGTTTTCCATCAATTATTCCATTTTAAATTTAGCATTAATTCCTCCCTCACCAACCTGAAACAAAAACTGTGCATTCTGGCTCCAAACTGCACAGATTTTCCATTTCTTGTAATGTAGAGTGTATTTTCAGAATAATGTGAAAGAAAAGTTGTTTCTCTTACTTCCATCTGTCCCCTAATTACCCAGGACTTGATTTCTAATGAAGTTGCTATACCTGGTACCACTTCACACAGATGCTGAGAAGAATGTGCTCAGTTAACAAAGAAGCAGAGACATGTTTGTGCTTTAAATGCATTCTGCCAGGAGAGAACAAGGATGTTGAAGTGCCTGTGGGATTTCACAGACATCACCAAATCATGTGTTGATTTGAAAGTACCACACCTTAGTGAAGTTCAGTGTTTCCTTGTTTGAAAAGCTAAATATAAGAGCTTCTGAAACCTCCATACAAACCCAGCCTCACATCTCAGTGTACAAGCTACCCAACTTTTTCAAACTTGACTCACACAGGCAACTGAGAAACCTCCCCCAAAATCTGGGCCGAGCTGAGGAGCATCCCCATGGGAGCCTGCACTGCAGCCAGGTGTCACCACAGGTCTGGAGAGTGTCATTCATTCCCTACCCACCCTCGGCACAGGGTGCCTGCTCTGCTGGAATGCTGTGGTTACATCAGTCCTTGCTGCTCTCCTGAAGACTGTCTGAATTCACCACACCCTGACAATAATGATCCCAGGAAAACAAGCCATAAATTCCTCAGTGAGGAACCACACAACAGGCCTGACAGCTGATGCCTCTGCTTCAAAATGGTGTAGAAAACAGGGGGGAGGTTGTTTTGATTTTATAGGCTGTCCCCCAGTTTGCTGCAGAGGTTGAAGCACAACATCAGAGCAGGTCAGTGCCACAAATGAAACTCCTCCTCAGTCATCATCTCACTTGCTCCTGAAGGCCACACACTGCTCATTTTCCAGTACCCAAGCTGGGATGCTCTGGGATGTGCTGCCCACACACCATCCATACACACAGCAGTGAACACAGGGATCCCAGCTGAGGATGGTGGGGCCTGGCAGAGTCAGCACCAGATGAGAGCATAAAACCCTGCAACAGACACTGAGACCCCTCTGGCAGCACATCTCCACCTCAGTTTCCCTATTTGCAAGGAGAAATTACTTTCTTGCTGTGGAAGCACGTTCACTACAGACATGGTTTTCAAAAGAGGCAATGAAAACTCTAAACACAAACAAAGCAGATTTCCCTCTAAACTTTCCACTTTCTGTGATAACCAAGGCAAGCAACAGCAACTGAATAAGGACCAAAGAACATCTGAAGTGCTGTTTTGTCAGTCCAGTTCAATAAATAAAAGGACAGTGGCTGTGGGGTCAGTCACAAAATGAGCAACAATCATAATTGACCTTAAGTTACCCTCTCTGTCACCCCTCAAGGCACTGCTGGCACAAACAGCTCTTGTTCCAGCAGCCCACTGCTTTCCAGGTTAAGATCCCACTCCTTGTTTTTCATAGTTCTGCCCAAGTAATTGTTCAGGCTCAGTCCTTCCTTGTCAGGTGCCTACTTCCACCTAAGTATTTTTGGACATGTTATTTAGACTGTGGTAATGTCTAAATTATGCCAAGCATTTTCCAAGCAAAGAGACTCCCCCTGGCCCTTAGTATGTCACTACAGTCATTTCCTAACACAGGGGAATTTCAGCACAAGCAGCTCTTTACCATAGATGTGTTCACCTCCCCACTCAGCCCCGTTTTCTTCTTTAAAGCTGCACCTACTTGCTTCTCTGTTTGGGAATCTGACTGGTAAACCTCCTGTCTCCTCTCGGTTCAGCTCTGTTTGCTGACAGACAAGGTACTATAAACACAATCACTACCTGAGACACAAAGCTAAACTCAAATTCAAAGAGGTCAAGGGAGAGAAGCAAAGACAAGTCAATAACTGCAGTGCCTGTGAGGGCATGGACAATCCCACGGGATCTGCAGTTGGAAACAAACTCCACGGAGCCAGTGCCCTTCCTGGGCACACAGCATGCTCTGCAAGGACAGCAGGCAGAGCTGCCCTCGCACTCACGCTGTCAGATGCTGGAATTTTAACTATTTAAGGCTGACAAAAAGACTATCCTGAGAGAACAAGAAAGGCTATGAAAAATCCCTGTTGCTTTAACATTATACAGTCAGGGCAGATGTCAGACATGAGCAACCTTTCCAATGACCCTCACATTTCCTGTTGTTCTACAATTTCCCCCAATTCTTCATTTAATAGTTCTGTCATTATGGAGGGGACTGATTTCTTCCACAGAACACTGGTTTAAACTTGGGATGGCTACTTGATTTGGGATGAGAAAGAGCAAGACAGTTTGCTGGAGGACCCTCGCCACACTTCAGCATACACACTCTGCAGGAATAAAAACTTTTGCCTTGAGAAACTTTCACCATAACAGGAAAACAGAAGTTATGTGCAGCAATAAGCATCACATGGTGAGTAATTATAGAAGCAATATAATCCACAGCAAACATTTCAAGGGATCAACTTTTCCTGACCAGTCTTCTGCATGCTTAGTAGATAATCCATGTAATGCTAACATTTCAGGGAGCTGCAAACAATTGCAACTTGCACTGTTTTTCACTTCCAGTTGCACTCCCTGGCCAGTAAAACTCATATTTTCTTTCAGCTGAGTTCTCCACAAAACCCAACAGTAAAGAACTACAAAGAAATCCAATTGTTTCTGAAGATGCTCTTTTCTCAAACAGAGCAAAAATAACAAGCAAAACTGCTTTATTGATGTAAAGAATCTATCTAGAAAAACCTAAAGTGAAAAGCAACAGTAAAGGTACCATAAAATACTTGTCATATACTCAATATAACATGCTGATTTGGACAGTAATGCAAATGAGCAATGCTATGCAGAGATGCTCATGAGGAGAAAAACACTGAATAGTGAAAAACACTAAATTTATGGAAGAGGCAACTCCATAAATGAAAGTGAATGGGTTTTAGGAGACTTATTCTCCACAGCTTTGTACTAAAGTGAAATTGCAGTCACAAATATCTGAACACTTACCCATCCACCTGTTCCTCTCCCAGAATGTACCGCAGGTTCTTCAGGAAAGACAGGGAGACCAACGCATGGGAATGACGAATCTTCACATATCCTGTTACTGTCTCAATCAGACCCATAAAATTCTCCAGTTCTGAGGCAATGTTATCTACAGTGAGAAAAAGATAATGGTCATTTTAACAGAATTCACAGCTTTGACTAATATTCTGCTTTGTGCAGCATTAGCTCAGTAAAAGAAAATGTTTGTACTTGCTACTTTTGAAAATGAGAGACACTGGTTTTCCTCCCCCAAAACAGTTGCCTGTGCAACCAGATGGTTGAAGGGCAAAATAAAGCCACAGAGTAACAGTGGGAAACCAGTCTTGCTTTTCCATCCTGGAACACCTGATTTTTCCATGGGCATTGCCCTCTGAAGCCAGCACCAAATGGTGAGCCAGCACTCTGGCAGGGATGAAAAGACCCTTGTGTAAATGTACACACCATGAGATGGAATTGCTCTCTAGATGTGGAGCAAAGGTCAGGCAGAAAGCTCCACTGGAAAGCAGAGAATGAGATTGAAGATAAACAGGAGAGGGTATGTTCCTCATCTGCTCTGGGCCACAGAGCATTGCTTTCCATGACCTGAAAAGGTACAAAACTGAACCAGTTGATGAAACAGCAAAGATAAAACCATCAGGAAATCCTTCTGCCATGGATCATGTTCCAGACAACTCACTTTCCCAAGCCAAATAATTTGATGCTCTTTGGCACTCTAAAATAATGCTTAAATAAAATAAAAAAACCCACATGCTTGCCTCAAGTAACTGGAACATCTCCCCTAAGGGAAGATTGTACCTGTAGCAGTGTTACCACAAATTTAAAAATCTACATGCTGCTGTAACTAAACCCTGGAACTTTGATTCAGCATGAGGTAGGGAATCAAACAGATCCCAATCTTTCAATCTTATTCATCAAACTAAAAGTGACCTTCCATAGGGACATACAAGTCCAATAAAAACTAACAGCAATTTTTACTCTGCTTTTAAGAGCTCATCAACTGTCAACACCTCCCTGGCTGATGAATCACTGCTCTGACAAATTTAATCCATTGCTTGCTCAAGACATGTGACAGAAGTGGCCAGCTCACTAATGCTGACCATCTAGCAGCATAGTGTTAGGCTTTATAAGAGCTCTCAGCACTCTGGATTCCCTGTTCTAGCAAAACACCACACCTTGCCTCAAGAAATGAGGCTCTGCAGTCTTACAGTGCCACGTGACAAGTTATTTACCTATCCAGATACAAGGATTTTAAACTTTTCCACCTTCTTGGGCCTTTATTACTCCTTTGGGACCACTGCTTGTCTAACTGCCTAATCCTGGTTCCTTGTCCTGCCAAAAAACCTAACAAAAATGCCAGCTTTCCCCAGGAGCTGAATACCCAATCCACCCGCGTGGGGCAGGACAGGGCTGCAAGGGCCAAACCAAACAAGAGCACTGCTCTGGGCCTGGAAAGCAAACAGCCTGCTGAGTTTTTTCATGTTCTTATCATTACGCTGACGACAGAAGGAAAAACGTGAAAAGCCTTATCGGGGTTCCGAAAGGGAGGGCGATCACTTACTGCCACGGCGGATGTTGATCAGCAGATTCCCCTTGAGAATTGTGCATCCCTGCAACATTTGTGCTGATGTCACCGAGTCAATGGTCTTTGTTTTCCCATCCTCACAGATTTTGGGGCAAGGCCCCTCACAAGGGCTGCAGAACATGCTGTGAGGAAAGAGGGGGATATTAAAAATAAACAGTGATATGCAACTCTGAATACACAGACTGCTCTGAGTTGAATTTTGGAAGATAATTCCCTCTAAAGCTTAGGCAAATCCTCCAGGCCAGAATGAAAGCTGCCATGCTTGTTCAGGATACTCTTGCCTGCTGCACTCCAGAGAAGCTGGAGCATTGTACCTCATACAGCGGCCCATACCCATGGTGTGCCAGCTTCTGGAAGGCTCTGTGGTCCTTCCAAAGTCAAAGGCACTTCAGGTAAAACCCAGCGCCCTTACAGCTGTGCATTTCCTCCAACTGAATTGCTCCCCTCCCATTTACAAAGGCAGCCTCAAAGTGCAGGGAGGTTTCATGCTAATCCAGGCCCAACCTCACAAAATAGGCCAGCCAGGAACTGGAGATGGGAAAATACTGTTCACATTCTTATAAAGTTGTCTGTGTCCATGTCCATAAACCAATATTCAAAGCTCTGCACTGGGGAATTCCATGTTCCTGGCCATTTAACTCAGAAAGACAAGTGTGGGGACAGAGCGAGGAGGGATGTGGAGAAAGTGAGCAGTCAATTAGTCACTACTTCTTACAGCTTAAGAGGCATTAAAGCAGCAAGTTGAAGGAAAGAGAAGATTGTGTCTTGATGCAAGGACAACTAATTGGCAACAGAAATCGGGAGAGGAAGGCCAGAAGTCTAAGCAGGTTCAAAATGAGTGATACAGATGGAAACATCAAGAAATACACACCCCCAAACACAGAGCAACCAGACTGCCAGAAGCTGGGAGGCAACACTGAAACACAGGCTCATTTCTCCTTATAGGCATTCAGATACATTTTTAGCAGCCAAACTCAAACAGCAAGAACTCAGCCTTTGGCTGCAGGAGCTTTTTAAATGCTCCATGTTTTTTCCTACATATTCATCTCAAAGTTGGACACTTCATGTGTGCATAACACAGGCCCTCTGATCACTCTTCCTGGTAAATGTCTTTCCTCGTTGAAGGTAATTTTTATTTTCCAATTTATTCTAGACATTTTACTTAGTATTTCACAATTACTTACTGCACCTAGTATCACTTTAGAGAGGAAAAATAAGAATTACAAAAACCCAAACCCAGCTCCAAAGACAAAGGCTTCTGCTGACAACACTGACGGACAGAGGCTTACTATTAATTTTTTTAAAAATAAAGTGAACCCACTTTCCTCTGAGGCGTAAAGAAACGTGTAAATTGGTAGCAGTTTTCCATGCATAAACCATAAGAGAAAGAAGCTCCTTTTCTAAGTAGTAAGCTCCTATTTCAAAATCCTGCTCTTTAACATGCCACAAACCACTAAAAGCTGCAGACACAAGAAAGAGGATTCAACTAAATGTACAAAGAATGCTGGAAATGCTTTCCATTTGCAACTATTTGTTAACAGCACCTCTGGGGAACAGAACATTCACTAGACTTGAGTTACAGCTCCTTTCAATGTCTGCAGAGAGCACAACACCGAGATAAGACAGGATGGCCGCGCACTCCAGCGTAAGCGGCTCAAACAGCTGCTACTACAAGCTCCAGGAGATAACAAAAGCTGCATTTCTCAGGTGAATATCTGGATTTGGGCAAAGGCTGTGTTAAGTTGCTTGTATCCAAATGCCAACTGGAGACTGCCTGGAACAGATGGATGACACGCATGCAGAGACACACAACTGCTGCATCACCACAATCACCTTTCCAGAAAACACAGCAGCCTACAAAGATCTTTTAGCATAATACTGAAGCACTACGAATTTTAGAACACTGACTATCCTTTACTGAAAGACCATGATTTCCAAGGGACAGTAGGCAACGAAGGCCGCTTGCTTAAGCCACTGGAAATTACAAAAATCACAAGCAAACATTGCTCCACCTCTTAGAATTAAATAACAGGAGGAGAGTGACACTCTTACAAGGAATTATTCTGTGTGATACTGTTGGCTGCTGCATGATTTTTGTCACCATCTATATGATTACTTCTTTCTAAAACACCATTTTTATCTCCTGGAAATAGTGAGAAAAGGGAAATGAAATACACTGAAGAATACACATGTCTAAAATGCAGGCACACATAAAGCAAATAATATGCACGGCAAGATAACTCCCTATGGCTTGTTCTGTGTCATAATGGTCATCAGCCAACTCCAACCTTGGGCTTCACATTTGCTTTGTTACTCTCTACTTGAAGACCTGGTTCTGCATTGCATGAGCTCCTCCAGCCCTTTGAAGAACCACAGCCCACTGACATTGCACAGGACTGCACACACCCATCAGGTGGATCCCTCATGGAAAGTTCTAAGCTTCTACCAGGAAGCCACCTAATCCCCCACGGAAATTCCCCCTCCTACATCCTCCCTCTACCCCAAATAGTTTGCACCCCAAGCTGGCCCTGAACAGGGAGTGGCAAGCCCACAGGGGACAGGCAGACGGAAGCCGCGTTACCTTTGGCTGCCGTTGCGGATGAAGCCCGAGGGACACTCGGCCATGCACTCGTCGTTGTGAATCACGAACTTCTCGTACTCGCTGGCGTCTGTGGCAGGGACTTTGGAGCAGAACTCCCTGGTGACACAGCGCCAGCCCTCGAACTTGTAGGTGTTGGGGGGGCAGGTGGGCAGGCACACACCCTCGTAGTAGTAGTTGCGGCAGGCCACGCACGCCGTGTTGTTGTCGGGCGCCGTGCAGCTCCCCAGGCACTCGGGGTGGCAACACTCGTTTTGGTCTGTGCAGGCTCGCTTCCCACACGAGCTGGGGCACACTGCAGGACACAAAGAAAAGGAGCATCAGCATCACCTGCTGAGGGTGTGGCACTAAAGGAAAACTCTGCTCTATGCGACTCTGTGGTGATTCATTCCGTGCGATCTAGAGCATCTCTAGAAAAGAAAAACAAACCCACTACTGTAAAAAAATTATGGTTTTCTCAGCTTTAGTTGCCTGAAAGTATCTTTTTCTCAGATCAAATTTATGACATGAACCAAGTAAGTAAAAAGAAAACTGCTGAAAGCAAGATCAACATAAGGATAATGGAAACAGGCAGTACTGGAACCTGTTCCATAGCCCCAGTATTATGGACAATTTTTTTTTTGGCATGCTGACTTATTGTCTTTCTAAGCATTTCTTGCCTTTCCTATCTGTACTTCAAATTGGTCTTTTATTGGCAAGAAAACAAGCTTCCTTCAAAACAACTTAATTACACTTGTAGAAGGAAGCACTGATCTGTGCAGCACACATGGTTGGGCTGACCCCAGTGCAGCATCCCAATGTTGCTTATGTGTGCAAAATGCGGTTTAATAAAGTATCAAATCATCATCCACATCAAATACCGAGGAATTACGGAGCTACTATTTTCCCCTGAAGAGCATAACAGTTCTGCCTTATCCTCAAATTCTGGGTTCACAGAACAAAATATGAAAGGGAGGGAAAAAAAAGGGGTACAAATTTATGGAGACATTTGTTTTATGTGAAAGCGTTTCAGCTTGGAAGACACGAACAAAGAGCAGAATCCTCAGCAGCCGAGCTCACCACTGCTAGATCAAAAGAAGTGGCAGCATTATATTTATGTAACAACAGCATTTTGATTACAGCACTCTATGGCCTTTTAGCCACACGAGTCGTGTGCCAGAGGCTCTGGAAACACACAGATTGCAAATCTGGTTTGCATTAAGTAGCTGTTTGCCACTTTCTAACTTAGCTAAAACACTGTATCAGTAACAACAGCAGCAAACTGGATTTCAGTGGTGCCACTACAGAGAGATCCAAGTGAAGCAACAGACATTCAAAGTGAATGATTTCAGCGGAAAGCAGAGAATCAGGAGAGAAGTTAACATCCCAAAATGACCATGCAAGCAGCTGATGAAATTCCACACAAGTTCTTCACTGTGATTTATCTCTCAGTTTGCAGCTACAGTATTGTTTTAATGCAGGACTAAACACTCTAAAATTTTAACGCCCTCCTCTTCCCACTAAGTCCAGGCTTTGCAGTTTTTACAGTCCCATTCAGCAGAACTCCACCACCTTGACACAGGACAAAATGCTCAAGACTGCTATTAGGCAATAATAATAACAACAACAATAACAATAATTCCCCCACAAAAAACAAACAAAAACCCACAAAAACCCGCTTGCTCACAGCTCTGCATTCAGGATGTTGACATCTTACACTGACTTCTGATTATAAAGAGCCATTTTCTGACAGCTTTAAGTAGTGTCCACCTTGAAAAGGACTTGTCAAAATGCTATTGAAGAATTTTGCATTTCTTGTCAGAATGATTCTATATTGACTCTGATTAATTTTAATCACCTTGTTTTGAAATAGATGGAGGGGGGAGACTGTGAGAACAAGGAGGTGGGACCATAAGCACTGCTGGTGCCTGCTCAGGGACCACAACTACTACATGAAAACCAAATTAAGAAATTTTTTGCAGAGCCTGTAAGACTACAGAGAGCAGGAATGTAGAAGCAATCACTGCTAAATAGTTCATTGTCTGAAGATGCTGATTATTTTTTTTCTTGAAAATAAAACAAACCATATACACCAAACCCATATATTAAAATAAAACATGCATGCAGGTGTGTATTCTCTTTTTGACTGTAATCTGCACCAGTGCAAAAGAAGTCTGCCCAGATGCCACCTTAGTAAGGCAGCACAAATTGCCTCGCACCTTACGCTACACAGGACTTGCATCTGGCACTACTAAGGGATTAAATAAAAAAAATAAATCAGTGTGTCTTGCTAGCAGATGGACTGCTGTGCTGAGTGGGTGCCAGAACTCAGATTTCATGTGGTAGCTACATTTCCAGTTCAAAGCCCTACTAAAAAAAACCACACACACCCCACTCTATGCCTCCACAAAGTTCATTACTGGATGTATTGATTAAATACATGATGTCTTTGTTTTCATCTGAACAATTTGCTGGGAAACAAACACTGCTGCACTAAGTATTGGGATAAACATAGATTAAGTTTATTTCATTCCTGGGAAAGACTCCTGTATTCCCTTAATGCCTCTGTCATTCATGAGCAGTCTGCTATAAAAATAGGATTCCCTGCATCTCCTGCTAAATCTGCTGACTCTGGTCTATGGAAATATAAATTGGAGCACAGAAGGATGCACAAGTTCACATGAAAAAGGCAATCAGTGAAACAGGTTTACAAAACTATTGTAATATTTTAATCACAACCATTTTAACGTGAACTTTTGAAAACTTTATAAAGATAATTTTTTAAAAGCTCAGCAACCTCGCTTTTTGCTCAGTCCTATTTTCTGCTTGTTCTTGCTAACGTTGGCAGAGTTTTCAGCCTGGAGACAATACGGGCATCCTGTTTCTTTGAAGAGGCAGAACAAGAACTTCTGTGTGTGTGTGCAGGACATATTATCAACAACAAAAAAAGCCTTATCTGCCTTACACGCCAGCTCCCTCAGATATCCCTGTTCTAAAAACCTTACTAAACAACACATGCTGACCTCACAGTCCAGACCCATCTATTCTCCCCCCACCCTCCTGCTAGTTGGGCTCCTAGATTTGCACCAAAACATGTAAAATGCAGGTTCCAAAGACTTTAGCCAAAAAAAAAAAAAAAGTGCTCTGCAATACACTCAGTAACTTTTTGACTTTATTCTTACATTAGAGGTACAAACAGGAGAAAACAGTGGGCTGACATTTGGGGACAGAACTTATCAGCCAGGTACAACAGAGTCTCAGAACATGAAGGCTGATGACAAAAGACAAAAAAAAAAAAAAAACAAAACAACCCTCGGAACAAATCCTTGCTGACAAGTCCAAGGGCAAAAAATGCTTAATTGTCATCACATGGAGATACCAAAATAATGGAAAATTTCAGAGACCTTGGAGGGCAGCCATGGGAGGAGGAAGTCAAAGCAAGATGTGGAGAAGGGCAGACCCTTAAGCACTTTAATAAAGACATGATGGAGGCCTGACTAGACCAGCATCCATTTACATTTTAGGAGTGAAAGAAGTGTCAGATCTTCAGAGAAAGATAGTACAAGAGTATCAGTAACCACTAATCCAATTTCCCAGAGCAAAACCAACAACAGAACTTTCCTTTTCTATCCGTACTTCACCTTCTGATTTCTTCAAATGAGTTTTCCCTGCCAACAAAACATTCACTAGATTTTCCAAATACTATTAAGATACTGTGATCACTGATAAAAAAGAAAAAAAAAGGCAAAACTTTTCAATCCAAGATGCCTGTTTACTAAGCAAATCAGATTTAGACCTGACATACAGCAAGGGGACACCTTAAAACAAAATGCAAGAAACATCTTAGAAGCTCAAGGAGTCCCAAGAAAATCTGACTCAGAGACTCATTATCCTCAATTAAAACCCCCAAGATGCTAAACCAGAACTGCAAACACAAAGCAAGGTTTGGAAATCCTCAAACACAGCTCTAGGGAAAAAAAAAAAAAATTAAAAAGCAAGCAACAAATCATCTGCCTGCATTTACAACAGCTCCCCTTTGGACAGGCTCAGGCTGAGGAGGTGGCAGTAAGTTTGTCTGACATCTAATCCCTCCCTGCTATGCCGAGCGTGCGCCACGCCAGGGCTCGCTGCAAACGCCCCGCGTTGACATCATGGCCATCGCACAGTTTGGGCAGACAAAGTGTTCTTATCATCTCCAAGACGCCATGACTTCAGCCATGCTGGAGCACAAAAATCAGGTGAATAAACAATCAGTCACAGGGAGTGAAAATGCAGCCAGAGGAGGAAGACTCCTGGCAAGCAGAGGCGCCGGCCTCGGCCAAGGATGGCACCGCGCCAGTCACATGCGGGCAAGCAAAAGGTTGCCAAGTGTGGGATAAATATTTTTTAAAGATTCTTTCTCTCCTTGTAAAAAGATATTTGATTTTTTTTTTTGGTATACTCTTTTTGGCTTTTTTAGAGCATCCTTCAGATAAAATAATGTTTCAGAAAAAAAAAAAAAAAAGGGGAAAAAAACACCTCGTTTTGAGCAGAAACTAGAGGAGGAAGGGAGTGTTTTCTCCTAGCCAACTACTGAAAAAAAGTAGCTGTCTAAATTTATCCACAAAGACAGAAAAATACAGTCACTTTTGGAATGTTAATCCTTCTACATGACAGGATTTTTAAAATATTGCATTTTAATGGGCTAAACTTTGGTACGGCCTTTCAAACAGCTGACTTCAAATGCTCAAACAGCCTATACAAGACCTGATTTCTTTTGCCCAATATTCTGTTAGAATAGAGAGACTGGAGAGACATTACTCAGAAAATCCAGTTCCAGTGATTCATGGTCAGGGCTGGAATCAGAAAGTACATAATAAAAGGAAATACACATATTAAATACATGCAGTAGTGTGTTCTGATCACAGAAATATGGGTAAAAGTCATCTCCAAGGCACTGAAGAGGCCACTCAGAGCAGTGGTGTAAATCTTTATATTATCACAGAAACAACTATTAGCAGCTTATCAACAATGGTGTAGTTTCTCTTTTCTGTTCCATCTCATATTCAGTGAAAATCCTGAAGGTAAAAAATGCTGCCATGTTGAACCACTTTCTAATAGTTAAAGCACAAAGTCTGGCAGCTTTTGACATTAACTGCCAGGTCTCAAAAGTTCAGTTCAACCCAGCACTGATCTAGGATCTGAAAGAGATCATCTCCTCCTTTTAAACCTATACTATGTAGAGTCATGTCCCCCAGCAAAATACTTGGATACATACACACACTAAGAGGGCATGAAGTCGATGGCCCACAAGCTATGTCTGACTCGAGATCAGTC